TGAGAACTTTTGAAACTTCTGATCAGATCAGATACTGACTTTGCCTGGACAACAAAACAGACGGGATGGGTTTCTTTATCATCATATTGACTGAAAGACGGCGTCCATCTCAGGGTGAAATATCCTGAACCAGATGAACTCTTGACCATGTTGAACGGTCCGCTGAACAGGAACTCAGTGATCCTTTAACACACAGGAAACACATCAGTCTGGTTGGTTATATGTCCAAAATGCCCTCAAACCAGACTTAAAAATTATCTTCAAAATGTGATTTTCACCATGAATTATGTCAAATCTTACCTCTGATTAGAAACATTTATTTTCTACTCACTCAGACTGAGTCGCCTCTGCTGTGATGTTGATTTCTATCATCTCATTAACGTCTATGAAGAACTGAGCTCCATGTTCAGGAGTTGGAGGCAGAAACCTGGGCAGATATTCACCTGCTGTGCAGGACGGAGCTGCAGGATCCACTGGAGCAACGCAGGGAAAAATAATGCAGATGAACTAATGAGATGCATTAAAATGGTTTGACTAGACAGAGAAGTGGGCAGTATATTATTGGTCATATAATCCGTCTTTATAACAGGTGATCTTCTTCTTGTGTTACATTTCTGTATCTGGAATTTAAAAGCTTGATGTCTTTTAATAGTCTTTAGTTATTGATCATCTTTAAACAGACACTTATTAAATATTAAATTTATTGGCACCAGTGTTGCTGTTTGACAGTAAAACAAGTTGATTGAAACATGAAATCAAACCTTTAAAAACAAACTGGACAGAGATTCTGCTCATGGAGCTGCTGGTGCTCAGTGAAGACGAGTAACCATCATATCGAGTCAGAGTGATGCTCCATCTGGTAAAATCCTCCATCATCAGCTGAACTGCATATGAACCTTCATTGCTGCTGCTGGTTGGACTGAATGATAGAGAACAAGACTGGAAGAGAAGAGAGAGAAAGATTAACTATGTTATATTTAATGTGTTTTTGTTCATACCAACAAAATTTGTTTTTATTTAAACATCTTCGGAGTAATTTTTCATCATTAGTCATTTATAGTTAGTTAAATAATCAGTAAATTCAGTTTCATTACATATGGAGATTTTCTATTGCATTCCTGACATTTATTACTCACTGATGACAGACTGAGGACAGACGGTGATGTGCAGGTGTAGCACTCTGAGGAACCAGATGCATATTTGCATTTAACATAATCTCCATCAGGGTCAAATGTCAACAACTTGATATTCCTCTGACAGTTTGAGGGAACTCTGAGAGAAACAGAAAACAAACATCACAAAGTCACCTGAGCATAATCTGCTCAAACTATTTTATTTAGATCAGGAATCTTCAGTATCTTGACTGATTTTCATCCATTATTTTTTTACTCCATGAATCTCTTTGGTTTCTGTTACAGATAAAATCATTTCACAGTATTGGATGTTATTTGGAAGCCATTTATAATTATTAAAGTTTTATGGCTATTCTGAAAAAGAAAAATGGACAAAATATCAAACTATAGTTTATGCTCAATCAAAGGCACCAAAGGTTTCAGAGTATTTATTAACATGATGTAAAAACTGCCTGAATTACCTCACAACAGGGAGGATGGTGGTCTGTGGTGATGAGTTCGGTCTCTTGATGTCGGATCGTTTTCTCAGGTTAGATTCAATGTCAAATCGCCCAGTTGAAACTCTGTTTCTGTTTTCTACCCAGGTTCCAGTATCCCATCTTTAATAGAAGATATGGGGAAGATTTCTGATGTCACTTAGAGTTACAGGACAGTAGACCAGAAAACTGTCAGGAAATTTAATTATTTTTTTAAAAAACCTGAAATTCAGTAGGAATTTTAGATGTAGTCACTTCTTGGCAACAACCGAAAGTTTAACATAATTTGAATGATGTTGAGATTCAGTCACCTATTATAGTGGTAGTTAAAGGTTGGATCTGTCCACTTCCAAGTGTAATCTCTCAGACACCATTCACCGCTGCTTTCATCAATCGTAGGACAGCAAGGACACAACCATGATTGAGTCTCCTCACATGAGCTGTAGCCAATCTTGTAGCGACGCACAACCTGTAGATTCAGGTGAAGAGCTGTTGGATACAATAAAAAAATGTTTTAAAAAAGGAAAAAAAAAAAAATCAGAGAACTTACTGTAAATTTGCCTCCTTGTACATCTTTAGTGGTGAATGAGAGCACAGTGCCAGTATAACCAGCTTCTGTACGGTAGATTATCACCAGCAGCAGCACAAAGAGCAACATGATGAACGAATCAGTTCTGCTAAACTAAGATGGAATCATCAGGTAACCTTTGTGGCTCTGCTGTCGTAAGGTGCTTTGGTTATGCAAACGCCTGAAGACTGGAGTCGACAACGTGATGCTTTATAAATATTTAAAAGAGTTTGTAGGAGTGAGCTGCCATTTATTTTTGCACATAGTTTCCTCTTCATTTTATTTAGGAAGGTAAACTTTTGTCATTTGGTTTATTTACTTTCAAATAGTAAGTCTTAGTTCATTTTAACATAGCTTTCTTTTGTTTGTTATTTTCAGCATTAAAGCTCACTCTCCTATTGTTGCAGCATCTCATGTCAAATGCATTTTAAATAA